TATATATATATATATATATATATATATATATATATAAGCTATAATATCAAAATCGTAATAGTCACAATACTTAGCATCCCCATTCCAAAAATCAGGGTAGAAATAACAAATAGGCAGCGCCGTCTGTCACGTCATCCATTAATGTCTCAATTTAAATAGGACGTATAAAGTAAACTATAATTACTGACTGTTTCCCTAATTTTCTACTCTTTATTATTATTATTTACACTTTTTTTTTGGTGTAAAGATGCGCCTTAAAAGGCACTATAACCTTCCACTTGGCTACACCACAAGACCTACAAAAAAAAAAAAAAAAAAAAAAAAAAAAAAAAAAAAAAAAAAAAAAAAAAGAGGGAGATGCTAATAAATAAGCAAAACAACAAATCCCCACCGTTTGGCATCTTAAAAATCACCCCTCAAATTAACTTCTAGTAATCATTAGCATTAACAATTGCTTAATAAAAAAAAAATATTTGAACTATAATGAATTAAAATACCTCAAGCTGCCGAAGCGCTGGACTGCATTCGCCGAGATATTTAACAGCCAGCGTAACGAGCAACGGCACGGAGTCCTCCGCGGGTATCATAAGATCGATCATATTGTCCGAAATCAAGTCATCGCTCAACTGACCGCTGGTATCGTTAATCAGAACATCAATAACGTCATTAGCATTCTCCCTTCTCTTCCCCCTCCTCCGCTTATCCTCAATAATCTTCTTCACAAGCATCGCCATCCTCTTCTTCGCCTGGATTAATTAATGTTAAAATTCACTAACCAGATAATTAAAACAACTGACAATATAATTAATTACTTGGAGGGATCTATAAAGTCTGGTTCCGGGTAACTTGATGGGGAGAGACATCAATCCCGCAATAAATTCCTGAAACTCCCGCTTAAGAAAATCCATCTCCTCGCCCGGCTCGAGGCCGATAAGCCCCTTGATAAGGATCTGGAACACAATCTGATGAGAGAGAAAGATGCCATTAAAAACAGCCATAAGTGCGCACGTGCGCTGGAGATAAGAGAGAGAAAGACAGACATGCTTGGTCTGGTTCTGAATGAGAATGGGCTGGGCCGTGTCGGCCCAGTTAGCCATGGACCGGCGGACGTAAGACTGCATGTCGGCGGTGATCTGGGACTTGAGTTGCGGGGATTTGAAGAAGGCGCCGATGAGGGCGTGGACGCGGCGGTGGAGAGAACCGTTGATGAGGAGGATGGAGGATTGGCCCATTAGTTCGGAGAGGGATTTGGGATAGGAAGGGACGAAGAGTCGGGCGTCGCTTTGGAGGACGAAGCGGCTGACTTCCGCGTCGGTGGAGACGATCGTGGGGCTGCCGAATATGTGCGATTTGAACACATTTCCATACCTATAGTTTTTTATATGTAATCAGTATTTTATGTTATTCTCGCGTAATATATATATATATATA